TTGCGTCGACGTTGGTGTTTCAGTTGCCTTTGGTAGAAGGACGTGTTTCTGTCGCCCAGATAAGACCAGTCCTGAGTGGCCTTTTGTAGTAACAGTAGCTCCTCTTGCAATATAACATCTTCCAATTCTTCACGAAGCTGCTTCTCCAGCGCCACCAGCCTCTCATTCATGTAAAATTGTTTGCACCGCTGGATGCCACCTAGTCGGGCTAGCAATCGTCTTTTCCGGTGAAAGATATTGCCGAACACGGTGGAATTCCATCCCTTCGCCGCCTCAGTAAACTTGGCAACGACGGCCTCAAAATCCAGTGATGGGGACCATGCCGCTTTTAGCATATTAGAGAAGCCCGAATGTAGTAGCCAGGCTGCTAAAAAACGAAAAGGATTAATTCCGGGCAACGCGGGACTCCTACTACCGAATTCCACCATAAGAGGTGAGTGGTCAGACTTAACCCTCGGAAGGAGACGAACTCGACCCATATCAAATTTCTCAGCCCACGCCATATTTGCTATAAAACGGTCAAGTTTTTCTGCTACCACTAACTATCAAACGCGTTGCTAAACAGGAAAAATAAAACAAATACAACTCGTTTATCATTAATATTATCGATATAATTAAATAATATCAAACAATAATTCTTACACATCACATTAAATCTAATTCACTGTTGATTCACTCACATAATTTGAACTAACCATCAATTCGCATCATATATCTCTCACTTTTACATTAAATTAACTGTAATTATTATATTTTAAATATTATTTTAATATAATTTCAAAATCCTGCTAACAAATAATACCACATTTTTTCCAAATAAACATTGACTAATACAATACCCGTATTTTACACGGGTGTTTGTTAAAAAATTATTCTTAAATTTTAAAATTAATGCGAAAAATTATTTTAAATTTTATTTACTTTATTACAAAAAATATATATTATTATATATTTTAGAATAACATTTGTTACTTATGCGACTTACATGTGTTCTATTATAGTGATTTTATAACTTATATCATATAACTATTTTAAATATAAATATATTAATCGATAAATTTCTAATTATTATTTAAAAAAATTATTTTGTAATAAAAATAAATATAATTTATTTTTTATACATGCAATATGAATATTAAATCGAAACTTGTCAAGAGATGATTAATTTGATATATTATATATATAAAACTGATAAAAAAATACCAAAAATATTAACTTTTAATATGCATTTACAATTCAATGATCATAATAAGAAATAATATTAAAATGCAATTGATACATGTAACATGACCATAAATAATCAACATATTTATAGATAAATAATCAACATATTTATAGATAATCCAAATCTAATTATTGTTGGATTGAAAGTAAATTAAAATCTATTCAAGCCTGATAACGAAACATGTAATTTTTGTCACATAGGATCCCGAAGCATGAGAGTCTGTCACTTAGGCTCAACACGTTCTGAATTAATATATAGGGAGAGGGGGATTAACCAAAAAAATCCATTTTGAGAGGAAAATTTTGTATCCAAGCAACTGTCTAAAATACTCTAAAATACAGTGAACTCTACTCATTCTTCTGCGATGAATTTCATGTTCCTTTTTTTTTTTTTTTTTTTTTTTTTTTTT